TTAGTGCTGTTTCCAGCTAACAATTGTTTGTATGTTTTGGTTCCCACTTGGCTCTGCAATTTCAACAGTTCCTCAAATGACATGTCAGCTATACCTGCAAAAGTGGGGAGGATTACAAAATTCAGCTTAGTATCTCCCTCTGTAGAAAAGACATCATCTCATTCCCATTCCTCAGATCCTTTCCAACATCCCATCAGATCAATCATTATTTATAAGTCCCATACAGCACAGGCTGTGATTATGATGCTATAATACTACTTAACTCATCAAATGTTTTAGCTACCTGGAGCCTCATCTTACTAACAAAGGTATATGGCTGCTGGGTGAGGTAATCCTAGTGACTCAGGAGTCTGAGGCAGGATCATAAGTTTGCAGCCAGGGCTGGGGATGTGGCTCAGGTGGTAGCGCGCTCGCCTGGCATGCGTGCGGCCCAGGTTCGATCCTCAGCACCACATACCAATAAAGATATTGTGTCCGCCGGGAACTAAAAAATAAATATTAAAAAATACTCTCTCTCCCCTCTCTCACTAATAATAATAATAATAATAATAATAATAATAATAAGAAGAAGAAGAAGAAGAAGAAGAAGAAGAAGTTTGCAGCCAGGCTCAGCAATGTAAGAGAGACACTAAGCAACCTAGCGAGACCCTGTCTCAAAATAAAAAGGGCTGGGGATGCTGCTCAGCGTTTAAGCACTCCTAGGTTTAAAAGAAAGAAAGCTATAGGATTGCCAGGTGCAATGGTGCACACCTATAATCCCGTGACTCAGGAAGCTGAAGCAGGAGAATCATATGTTCCAGGCTAGCCTCAACAACTTAGCCACACCCTCAGCAATTTCGAATGACTCTGTCTCAAAATAAAAAACAAAAAAGGACTAGGGATGTATCTCAGTGGTAAAGTACCCCCAAGTTCAGTCCTCAGTACCAGGGGCAGTAGTATCAGAGATCAACCAAGCCATAGTAGGATAGTCTCTCCCCTCCACCCTCTTTTTAAAATTATTCCTTCATGGAGTTACCCCACAACAATCTGCCTCACTCACTCAGTTACCACTGCCACGGTCCTGGTTCATACTTTCAGCATTTCTCATCTCGTCTCATTCTTATGCCCTAACCTCCTAACCAGACTCCCAATCTCCAACCTTTCTCTTTCCAAAGCTATGTTCCCCACTTTGCCTGAGGAGCATCAAAACAAAATTGACCTTATCACTCCCACACATAAACTTCAGATCATGTCACTTCTGAACTCACAAGCTTCCCAATGGCTTCCATCCTACTCAGAGTGAAAGTCATTTCTTATGAAGGTCTGAAATCCCCAAGCGACCTGGCATCCTGTAATGTCTCTCCTAATCATCTTTCACTCTTCTCCAGCCAACTGGCCTCCAACAGTTCCTGAGCAGTAAAATATGGTCCCATCCACGTCTGATGTTGCCTCTGCTTGGTATGCTTCACCCAGATGTATTACTTGCTGCCTCACTTCCTTCAAGCCTTTCCTGAAATATCTCCTTCCCAGGAAGGCTTTCTCTCCACAGCCTTTAACCCCCTTCTTAAAAACTGATCTAAAAGGGGCTAGGGTTGTGGCTCAGTAGTCCAGCCTTTGCCTCACATGTGTGAGGCACTGGGTTCAATTCGAAGCACAGCAACAAAAGAATAAAACAAAGGTTCATCAACATCTAAAAAAAAAAATTTAAAAAACTGATATATAAGGGGGCTGGGGTGATGGATGGCTCAGTGGTAGAGCGCTTGCCTAGCATGAGTGAGGCACTAGGTTCAATTCTCAGCACCACATATAAATAAATAAAGTTCTATTAACAACTAAAAAGGTAAGTTTGAAAAACTGATATACAATCCACATACCCTAAAATTCCCCCTTTTAAAGTATACAGTTCAGGGGTTTATTGCTTTTATTTAAAATTTGTTTGCCTTTTCTTTTTATTGCCCTTCTGAAAGGTAAGCTACATGAGAAGTGTTTGCTGAATTCACTACAGTATCCCCCGCAGCCCTACCTCTGCCTGCACATAGTGGATGCTTACTAAACGCGCAATCTGACTAAGCCTTCCCCAGAAAATGGAGACCTTTCCTAGCTCCGTGGTACTGAACGTATTTTCTCCTTGCGAAAACCGCTCAGAATGTTCTAAGCCCAGAAGCACCCACCCTCCGACCTTCCACAGCGCGGCGGGCGCTCTCTGAAATTTCCCAGTTTATCCAAGTTTCTGCGGGTTCGAAGTCCCCGCCAAGCCGCGACAGCCTCCCGTTTGCACCCAATCCCGCGCCCTTACCGCACGACAGGTCACGGGCCACGGCTCCGAGCTCCACGTCCCGGCCCTCCGGAGACCCACGCGGATGCCGGACCACGGGCACCGCGCGCGGACGGGTTCCCGGCATCGCTCTCGCTGCGTTCCGAGGAAAAATGGCGCTGCTTCCGCTCGCAGCGGCTCCCACCCCGCCTCTTCCGGCGACCCGAAAGCTGGGTTTCAACTCGAGGAAGAGCGTGCAGAAAACGCGCAGCGCCACCGACGGTCGGGAGTAGAGCCCAAAGGCGTCTGCTCCGCAGAGAACGTCGCAACTTTCCGCCTGAGGCTCTGGGGCCAGGCCTTGGTGGCATTTCCTGATACTCTCGGCTAAGACAGACCCTCAGGGGTGCCCTTCCCGCAGCACCCTGCCCCACAGGCAAACAACTGCCATCTCCACGGTATTTCATAAAAACACGCCACACGTTGGGAGGTTTTAATTCATTTTTATAAAATCCGAGCTGGCTGACATTCAGGGTACAGCAGCAGCTCAGGGAAGAGTGGGATTATCTGCTGGTCCCCGTCTCCCCACGTCGGGGAGAAGGAGGTTTCAAGCCAACAGCTGCAATTCCTCTCAGTTCCCAGTCAATGCTCAAGGCTCAAGCACGGGGGAGGGGTTGGGTATGGAGGGAGAGGGAAGCTCCTGAGGCTCACACACTGCTGGCTTCTCCTTCTCCCCAATCCCTTCTCTTCCCAGCAGAGCCTAGCTACCTGGCTGGCCTGGGGCAGGGCAGAGGCCCAGGAGCAGTCGGAGGGAGGTGGACAGGAACAGAGCACCAAGGGGAAGGGGCCCTTGGCCCAAGGGGGGGCGGGGAACTGGCCCTCCCCATTAGAGCTCCCCCACTGAATTCACAGCACAAAACACCTCTAGTCCAACATCTCCACATGGAGGTATACTGAGTCCAGGGTCCAAAGGGGCAGGCAGGTGAGATGGGAAGGGGCAGTGAAGACAACAGCAGGCTCAGGAGGGAAGGCGGCAGAAGGCAGAAACTTCCTCCTACCCATGGGAGGAGACGATGGGGCGACTGATATTGCTGTTGGTGGTCATGGCATTCAGCTCCCACCTGGAAGGCCAGAAAGGACAGAAGAGGGAGCCCCCCCACACCTAGAATTCCTCACCCAAAACTATGAAAACACAAGTCCCTCCAAGCTAATAAAGCTCAATTCCCTACAGCCACCTCTTCCTTACAACCAAGTGAGGTTTAATCATCACACCCCACCCAGGAAAAAATCCAATTCCACCCACTCCACCTCTAAGCTCTGTGGATTTCCTGTTTATGTTTATATATGCATATTTACATGTATGTATATATTTTCATTCCTGAGTCCAAACACCTGGAATCTGTGTGTTCATCTCAATAAACATCCCAACCTACTTTTCCTGCTCTGGTCAGATTTAACCTGGCAGCCTGTCTAACCCCACCAGGAACACCTACTTTTGCTGTCAACTTCCATCCTTTTAAGGCCCAGAGTAGGGTCTCCTATTCTTCCTGAGGCCTTCTCCATCCATCCCACCATATTAAAATTAAATTTCTCTACAACAATTTTTCCATTCTACAAAGATTTACCAAGTAGCTACTAGGCCAACACAATGAATAATCTATTTGGTGTTAGGTACATGTATCAATCTTTAGCCAGTATGGGATCCATCAGTTCAGACAAGTGTCACCAAATTCTTAACACAAAGACCCTCAACAAGTAAGAATTAAAGTGAACTGACATAAAGGATAGTGGTTCAGAATAAACCAGAAGGGCAAAATGATACACAAAGTAACTTGGTGCTTAATCTGATCCTAAGAATGGAATTCAAAGGCAAGAAGCCAGGAGTTCCCTTAATTCTGAAACTAAGGTTAAAGGCTTCTAAACTTGCCTTTACTTTGCATGTAGGGTCTAAGACTTAATAGCTGTTCTCAGCATGTTAACAAAAACTATATAAGCTCAGGTATCAGGAAGCAATGCTTCTGAGTGTGGTTCAAAAAACTAGACTGGGGGGAGGGGGCAAAACTGGAAACTGAACCCAGGGCCTCCTGCCCAGGCTGATCTCAAATGTGGCAATCCTCTTGCTTTAGTCCCTAAGTACCTGAGATCATAGGCATGTGCCACTCACTGCACCCAGCTGCATTTTTCTTTTCCCCACATAACTGACCCACCTGACAGGTGACTGACTATACACCTTCACCTCCTTCCACCTATTCCTCAGATGAACACTAAGTCCCTAGCACAACCCCCCAAAAAAATCTGTYTCTTCCATACTGAAACTAATCAGGTCACACCTGTGCTGCACACTCACCCTCAACCAATCCCTCCTTTGTAACCACTTGCTGTACCTGATGTCATGGGGCAAACAGGACTGGTCCAGATTATACTGAATCACCGCGAGTTTGCACAGAGTCTTCAGACTAGGGCCTTTAAAGAAGGAGTTGGGGTAGGGAAATGGTCAAAGCTGAGAAAAATTGCAGTTCTGGACATTACCACACAAAGACAGGGACCCTGATGGTGGGAGCAGTTCAGAAATAACTTACTAAAGTCCAAAATGTGTAAATCAGAGTGATCTATGAGGTCAAATTCATCTCCCAGGCCTTCCTCAGGAGACGGGCTAAAGGGATCAAGAGAAATGAAGGTCAGAGGAAACACAACCCACAAGACCCTCTTGCTCAAATACCTCCCACTGTTAGTCACAGACTTAGGGCCATTCCTAAGCCTTCCCCTCTCCTCCTAACCTGGTACCCCCAAAGAGGACAATCTTGTCACCAACAATGCAGCAGCACTGGCGCCGGCGGGGACATGGCCCCTTCCCCTTCGGTTCAATTTTTTTCCAGGTAAAAGATACTAAAAGAGAAGTTAATGTATAAATTCAGTACCTGTCCTGTCCAAATATCTTCACCCCTCCAGCCCCTCACCTACTCAGGATTATTTTTCTTTTCCTTCCACCTCAATTACTCCTTGTGCCTCCCCTAAAGGCAGTGCTTTTTTACCAGGGTTAAACTTCCAGAGATCATGGAAGTGCCGGTTCAGCCTTGCATTATAGCCACCAAAGATGTACAGCTCTCCATTGTAGCCAACTGGAAAAACAGTAAAATGTTAAGAGTGTGAGATCTGACAGGGGACTCCACAAGCAAGTAACACACTCACAGGCTGAGTGGCTCCGGCGTCCCTCAGGCAGCACTGGAGTGGGTGGGCAGTCCAGCCAGGCCTCAGTTCTGGTGTCAAAGACGCGAATACGGTTGCAATAAATCTCATTGTTAGAATGGAATGGCCCAAAGCGGTCAGCACGGCCTCCAAAGACATACATGTGATTGCCCAGCATTGTGGCTGAGTGGAAGTCCCTCCAGCGTGCAGGATTGCCCTGAACAGGTGGCAGAGAGATGGGGGAGAACTTCAGCACAGACACTGGAAAGAGATCTGTTCAATTTGAGTTTTCTATGATTTCTATGAAGGGGGAGATCCAAGGGAAAGAAAGGCTGACCTTTGTACAAACAAGGGTCCATGTCATGGTGCTGGTATCCAGCTTATGAATGTCATTGGAAAAGCAGTCCGCCTGAGAGGGAAGAGAAAGGAAAGAACAGAGAGGGCCAGTGGTCACTCTCTGACTTTCTACTCCTTCCCTCAAAACTTGCTAACAAGCCAAAAAAGCCTCCAATTCCACCTTGCTAAATCCCCCTTCCTCTTTCTCATTTCCACACTAACCCCCTAGCTTCCTCCCAGACTTACCAACTGCTCGTAGCCCCCAAAAATATACATGATCTTGCCCAGGACACAAGCTGAATGTCCATCCCGGGCACCAGGAACCGTTCCTGACACTCGGGGTGTGGACCATTTGTGAGTATCTGAAGGAGGTGAGAGAATGACAAAGGTCAGCAATCTCTGACACTCCCTCCTAAACTCAGGGGTGCCCTACTACCCAGTACCCCCAACCATACCTTTCCCATGCCCCTAAGGCACCATTTGGCAGAACACAGCTTCTCTCTGAGACCCATACTCACTGACATCAAAGGCATAGAGTACGTTGCAGGCCCCTTCGGTGTCATTCCGCCCGCCCCAAAGGAAGACTGTGTCATCGATGAGAACGGTTGAGTGTCCATACCGCATGTAAGGTACCACAGGAGCTTGCCCACGGATGGCAGGCCTCACTGGAGGCAGCTTTGTCCAACGCAAGGACACTGTGGGCACAGCTCTGCTCAGCCTGTTGTCCCTCCCTCCAGGACGTCCAATTTTTCTCAAACCAGACATTTATCCCCAGTCTCTTTGGGCACAGGGACCACCACCAAACCTCATCCAGTCACCTTTTTCCCTCCCTGATATGGGAACCTAGGGACAGTGCTGGCTTTGGCTTACCTGCATTGAAAATGTGCACATCTATCTGACGCAGTGTCTCGTAGTCTTCACCAGAGCAGTAACCCCCGAAGGAGTATACCCGATGCCCAACAGCCACTGCAGCATGGTTCACCCTGCGGGGCCCGCCCTCCAGATGCACCGTCCACCGTAACATCCCCTGGGTCACTGGTTACAGCAACATGCCCCCCCGGCACGGCCTGCTGCCTCTGCTACCTGCACACAAGTCAGGGCCACAGGCTCCTCAGGCAAGGCTTCTGCCTGGCTCTTCGTGACTGCCCAGGACCAGCCCCTGCCTCCAAGTGTCACCCTGGTGGCCCTCCCACACCACCCCTCTGCAGGAACAGTAGTCACAGCTCAGGTGGCTGGCCTTGTTCCAGAATGGCTGCTGAGGTCAAGGAGCTAGCCCTGGCTCTGTGTTCTCCCACTTCAAAGGGTGGGGCCACCTTATACTAATGCCAGTTCAGAATCTGGTGATCATGGTTGCCCCTATTCATACAGACTTTACCCTGTCCTTGGCTTGGCACAAGCTCTAAGCCCCCTTTCTGGGCTCGGTGTGTTCTCTTGACTCTGGCTCTGCTTACTGCCACCTCTCTAAGAATCTCTATGCTCTTAAAGGTGGGGAAAGGGATCCCAAAATACTCATAGCTATTAATAGCCCAGCCAGCTCCAGACAGCCCATTGAAACTGGCAAGGGTGCTTTAAAGCAAAAAAAGCTTTTAGGCTTTGAGTGTAACAGTGCCCCTACCCAGGACAGGGAACTCCATGTTACCATGGTTGATTATCCCCTTACAGCAAGTCCTTTTCAAGCTGAGCCACTGTCACTGGGGTCACCCAGGGTGCCCACAGGCACGAGGAGTTCCTTTGACAGCTGTGCCTGGTATGCTGCCAGGACTAGAAACTTAAGCCAGAAAGGTATGTGTGTGCTAGTGTTTGGGGATAGGGAAGAGGAGTTTTCTTTTTCTGCCACTTCCCCAACCCTGCTATTATAGTAGAGAACAAAGCCATTTCCAGCAGCTCTTCCTCTACTTGGGGTCCCTGAAAGGGGTACAGGGCTGGCAGTGTGCACTGGAAAGGGGATGGGAAGCAAAAATGCTTTTGAGCAGAACAAGAGAAAGACTGAGGCACAAGAGGTCATGGTCTCTTAAAGATAACCTGCCAAGCTAGTGATAATGGGTACATTTGAGGGCTCTTTCAAGCAAATCCTCTTGCAACTGGCAATGCCTTTGAAGGCAGACACCTGCTGGGTTTGGTGGATCATCTGCTCCCTGTTCAAAAAGCCTTGGCAGAGAGAAGAACCAGGAAGAACCTCAGACACACACACGAAAGAAAGAAAGAAAGAAGAAAACACAAACAACAACAAAACTCAAGTAAGAGAGAAACCCCTTGCAGGAAAGAGACATGGCTTTCAGTTGGCTTTCCAGTCCCACCCACCCAACCTCCCCCAACCCCACATCCCATGSTTTAAATAGCCATCCCGCAAAACCTGAAATAGCCACAGCCAAGCTACTCTCACTTCGGTTACTCCAACTCACAATCCAAAATATCTTGGATCTGGGTTTGTGGAGTTAGGAGGTTGAAGGTTTAGGAATGCAAGTATTTCATCTTCCCTCACAGTCTCTACTCTCCCTTCAAAAATGTCCAGGTAAAGTTTAAGAATGCACACAGAATAAACAAGCAATTCCAGCCAAAGGGGTGGAAAGAGAATCTTAGCTTCTCCTTTACAAAGACAACTCAAAGCAAGACCAAGCCAGAAGGTCTAAGAGGCTCTTCTTATCTTTGGGTCTCCCCATCCTCCATCACTATGTCATTTTCAAGCTCCTTCCATTTCCTTAATGTATATCGATCCCTTTCCCTGGTTTCTTGCAAGACCCACGCCCCATTTGTGGCCCTTCTCCTGAGAGCTTTGCAGTTTTCTCATTTTCTTCTCCCACCACTAAAAGGACACCCCAAGAGCCCTCCACCATTTTTCTACCTCTACGAAAGGAAGGAAAACTAACACTGATTGTCTCCTTTCGGCCACAGATATTCCTCTGAATGACTCTCCCTGTTTTCTTCTACCCTACTCAGACTCCCCTCCCCCACAAGGCAAGGCACCCCCTCCTTTCATTATGCTCAACTTCCTTGCTTCCTTTTAACCCGTCTTCCTCCCAATTTCCTTCAATGTCTCCTTTAGCCACCAGGTCTCTCCCACCCTCCAACCACCATCCTCCTCCAGTCCTTTCCCCATTAACACTCTCCTTTCCCATCATCCCCCTAGTTCCCTCCCCACCCCCACCTCATCATTCAGGCCCCTCCCCCACGACTCCAGCCCTTAGCAGAGGCGTCGCCAGCCCCCCCAATTCTTCCTTGCCCCTCAACCCATCCCAGGCTACCTGCCAGGCCGGGCCGGGGCGGGGCCGCGGGTCCTCGCGCTGCCAGCAGCCTAGAACCAGTTGCGCGCCAACCGACGCCTAAGTCCCCAACGAGATAAACACTGCCAGGCTCCGTCCTTCCGGCGGGCAGAGGGGCGCGCACGTGCAGTCTGAGTTACGTCCCGACGCCTTCCGGGACTTGTAGTCCACAGGTTTCCTGAGGCCCGTAAGGGCAGGAGCCTACGGAGAGATTCTGCGCATGTGCACATATGTGTCAAGACCGTGGGGTTCATTGGGTAATGTAGTCCTTTGTTGTCGGGGCAGGGGATGGCGGAGGCGGGGCTAGGGGCGGACTCTTCGTCCTCGCTCGCGTCAGTCCAGAGCACGGGGCGGGGCTGGAGGACTGGGAGCCCCAGCACGTCCTGCCCCACCGGAAGTGAAGGTGTGGGTCCGACGGTGGGCTCTGAGAGGGTGAGGCGCGCGGAAACACCGGCGCTGAGAATCGGTGGGGCGGGTGGGGACGCCGCAACTGGGACCTTTTGAGGGGCGCCCCGGGAGCCTGAAGGGGTTTTGTCAGGCGGTTTAGAGGGGAACCCTTAGGAGAAAGGAGGAGGGGGCGGGTATGCTCTGTCCTGGGGAGACGTGCGACCTGGGGTTCTTTAGGCCGGGAGGGGCGTGGTGGGGAAGCCGGGGTTCTGGAAAGCTGGTAGGGCCTCTAATTGAGCTGTTTATTTAGAGACTGGGAAAGGCGGGTGGGGCCTGGTCCTAGAAAAGAGCCCGGACTTAAAAGGGGGAGCAACGAGAGACTGAAGGAGTAGGGGAGAAGGATGCGAGTAGGGGAGAAGGATGCAGGAACCTTGGGGAGTGAAGCTGGTTTGATGGAAACAAGGAGACTGTGAGGAGCTGGAAAATAAGATGAAGGCGCTCCTAGTTTCATCCAATCCCTATCCTCCTGCCTCCCTGTTCTTGCAGCCCCTGCCCGGATGGCCGCAGTAGTTCTAGGGGGAGACACCATGGGCCCTGAGCGTATCTTCCCCAATCAGACTGAAGAACTGGGGCCACATCAGGGCCCTACAGAAGGCACTGGGGATTGGAGCAGTGAGGAGCCTGAAGAAGAGCAGGAGGAAACAGGGGCAGGCCCGGCTGGCTACTCCTACCAGCCCCTAAACCAAGATCCTGAACAAGAGGAGGTGGAGCTCGCACCAGTGGGGGATGGAGAAGATGTAGTTGCTGACATCCAGGATCGGATCCAGGTATAGTGGAAGGAATTGTTAAGAACAAATAAAGCTGAGCTCCTGCAAATGAAAGCAGGACCCTACCTGTCTCTCTGGTTCCACAGGCCCTGGGGCTTCATTTGCCAGACCCACCATTAGAGAGTGAGGATGAAGATGAGGAGGGAGCTACTGCATTGAGCAGCCACAGTTCTATTCCCATGGACCCAGGTAAAAGGATCATTCTTTCATTAGGGAATAATAGACTGGCTTGAACCAGGAAAGGGAAGTTACAGGGGAATAATTTATTCCTAGTTTGTAAGCTAGGATTTTGCTGACTTCAGAATCCAGGTGAAACATTATTCTGCTAGACTTGGAGATGAGCAGGGTTGCTTAGAAATAAGATGGATCTGGTGACCCCACCAATTAAGGGCTCTGGGTTGATTCAAGAAATGGGAAGAGGAGCTGGGCCCATTGTTTCTATCTCCTAACTGGCTTCTGGCTGTGATTTCAGAACATGTAGAGCTGGTGAAAAGAACAATGGCTGGAGTAAGCCTTCCTGCACCAGGAGTTCCTGCCTGGGCTCGGGAGATATCAGATGCCCAGTGGGAAGATGTGGTACAGAAAGCCCTTCAAGCCCGGCAGGCATCTCCTGCTTGGAAGTGACCATAGTAAGAACTGCCTCATCTTTCTACATTCCAGGCCAGAACTAGCACAGGACTGAATACATCCTCTGGTTGTAATATCTTACCCATCACCCTTTCACATCAAAGTAAATCAGACTTCTGCTCAGAGACCCACTTTATTCAGTTCTGTACATATGGGGACATTGGCCCAAGCCCAACCCACCTTAACATGTATCATTCTGTGGAGAATAAAGCACCCTATGTACACAGCCAAAAGCCACACTGCCTGTATTCCTGGAACCTGGGTCCAGCCCTCCCAGCCCCTTTCCTCTCCAAAAGGGACCGGTTAGGGCCTGCCCAGCATCAGCACAAACAAGGAAATAAATAGGTATTGGGGGGAGCTATGCTTGGGGCACTGCTCCCTGCTTTCTTCTTTCAACTTTGGGAACCAACAGCACAGGAAAGCAGTCAGCCACAGGGTGGTCCCTTCCATGTTTGTGATCCCAGGGCTGCTGCTCACCACAGAGGGGGTGTAGGGTAGGGGTGATTATTTACACCCTCCAGTGCTTGGTCCATCTGGGCTCTATATTCATCCTTTGTTGTCCACAGCCAGTACTTTTCTCCTTTAGGATCTCCATGTTCTCTTCAACAGGCAGGGAATAAAAGGAAATAATAAAACCCTGTCAGCCTGCACACTGCTGGGGCTGGGGGCTTATTTGTGCTGCTGGAGTTTGACTCCCCTCCAGCTACTCACTCCAGGGGCCAGTGGAGCTTGACATAACTTTGGTGAGAATAACCTCCTGCTCCTTCCTATATGCCTCTGCAGTCAGGGGAGAGGAAGAGACACCTAGAATTCAGGTGAGGATGAAGGGGAGAGGAGAGGAGCATATGTATTCCTGTGTGTACTTCTCAGCAACCTCAGATAGCTGTGGGTTAGGAGCAGAAGGGGGACAGGCACCCCCAGGTTCTCTTTGCACTGAGCATCTTGATGCTCAGCCTGTCTGTACTAGCCACAGGGAGGCATGAACACGCTTTGGGGAGAAGAGAGACCACTGGGTGTCCCTGCTTCAAGTGCCTCCATCCTCTAGAGTAGCTAGCTAGAGAGGTGCTGCCTTTCCCCAAGTCAGCCAGTAGGGAGCAGAGGGTGGAGGGCTGGGGCAGCGTCCCAGGGCTGAGTGGGCTGTGACCCTGCGGGAAGGTGAGGGGGTCAGAGAGCCTCTTGGCTGGCAGTTAGGAACTCTTCTGCCCGCTTATGGGCCTCCAGTGCCTTGATGGTGTAGACGTCCTGGGGCAACTCTGACTTCCTCCGAAGCAGCACTTTTTCCTTCTTGATGTCCTTCAGCATCTACAAATGGATAGGGAGAAGACAAGAAATGATGATCAATTCCCAAGGAATTGATATTTCCTTCTCTTATTCTTAGGTTCTGTTGCTCTTCTTCCAGTCCTGTTAATTTCTACTCCACCTCCCCAGTCCTTACCCCTGGTGCCCTCCCACCTGCACAGCCTCTGTCTCCACCGTCCTCTTCAGAAGCTGGATGTCCTCTGCTGTAGGGGTTTCTGTCTCCATGGAGTACACAGGGGGCAGAGGTGGAGGAGCACGGAACATGGGATACTGAGGGAGGAGATGTGGATGAAGAGTTGAGAGCCACTTCAGAGGTTTGTGGGCCTGTGTGTCTATTCTTCCACCAAAAATCCCTAACCCCTAATTCCAGATGGGACCCTGAGTTCAGGGCAGTGGCATAAAAATCTCACCTGAGGATTAAGCCGGGCCAGCTCCTCAATCTTTTGCCACATCTCTTCTCTTTCCTTCATTCGGAATCGGCCCCTAAGGGAACAAAAGTAGGAATGAGAGAACGAAAGTGAGCTAGAAGTAAAAAATGAAAGTCTTCCAGGGAGGGCTGGGATTGTGGCTCAGCGGTAGAGCGCTCAGCGGTAGAGCGCTCGCCTAGCATGGGCAGGACCCGGGTTCGATCCTCAGCACCACATAAAAATAAAGGCATTGTGTTGTGTCCATCTACACCTAAAAATAAATATTTAAAAATAAAATAAAACAATATTTAAAGAAAAAAAAAGTCTTCCAGGGAGAGAAATACTCACTTCTGTTTCTCTGCCTTGTACTGCTGTGTGCAATCATCAAAGAGCTTCTGATTCATTTCCATAAACAGCTTCAGGGCATTGTAGATCAGTCCATGGATTGTCCTGCCACCCAGAAGAAAGATCACATGCAGGCCAGAGCCTACCCTTAATGCCTGGGCCCCATGTTTACTTGTTTATAGGAGGTGTCTCTACCAACAGCTTTTTCATTTACTACCCCCATTTCCCAAACCTTTATAAGCAGATAGTTCTAGCCAAATTGTGTGACTTAAGACTAGCATTTCATGGTCTTTGCAAATACTGATCCACCTGTCTATACTTCCCCTACCCCATACTCCAAAAGTCTTCCTTCTTTACACCACTTCCCACTCTAATCCACACTAATGGCCTCCCAGCAACACAATGGACTGAGTGTACCACACTATGTTTGCTCTCAGCAAAAAGCTTTTTTTTTTTTTTTTTTAACTCTTAGATTCTATGCATGCTCTCTAAATGGATCACATCAGCTTCTCCCAGCATAGAATTGTGTCTTCAAAGCTGTAACGTACCTGTGGAATAGCTGACCCCAAAGAGCAATGTACAGGCCACTGCTCTGCTATTTGATATCCCAGAGATCTCTCATACAGGCATCTTTTCTCTCTAGTCAGTCCCTCAAGGATCTACCAATAAACAGTGGGCATCAGCCCCACTTGCTGAATGACCAGGTGAGATTCACACCTTCAAAGGTTCCAAAACCAGATCCCCACACCCAGCCCCAGCCCAGCCCCATACTTGTTCCAGTGGCTCTTGGAGTTCCTGTAGAGTGCAGGGAACATGATGGGGAGGACTCTGGCAGCATTGTCACTTATCAGGCTCATGATGTATTCATTATTCCAGTAATAGAGAGCACGCTCTGCCACCTGGTGGAGAGAGGTGGGACTCAATAGAGGCACTATCTACCTGCCTTACTCAAGATCTGCTAAATTCCTGGGAGCCTTGGATATGCTGAGTTTGGCTTCACCTGGAAATGGGGGCTGGAGACACACTTGGCAAGCTGACGGAAGAGTGGTTCCATCACTTTGCTAAACTCTGAGGGTTCAATGACATCCAGAATCTCCTCTAGTTCATTCAGGAACATCACCTCCTTGGGGCTGTGAGTCTTGGGCCAAAACTTAAGAAGTCCCACAATCACCTGTTGTGAGAAGAAGACATAGGATAAAATTCTTAATACTGTCTGGTTTTCTGGGAAGCTTTCCTGCCTCTCTTCCCCACCCTTAGCCTTGTGGGCAGAGTTTGGGTAACCTCAGCTAACGGCTCATGTTTCTTTGGCTTGGGTCTTCCTAAGTGTATATAGATTTCATTTCTCATTCAGGGAGGAAACCATGTCACCTATCATGCCACAGCCCTCCTGAGCACCTGCTTACGGCATTGCTCAATTATAAATTGGTAAGCAATACTGATGACAGTAAAAGGTTGACTTGGGCTCAGAAGGGGAATTACCGGCTCAGTCAGACTGCTCTCCTTCTCCAGGAATTGTACCACACAGTAAGCCAACTGCAAAAGGTTGAGGTAGAAAGGAGGTGAAATTAGGGCCAGACAGTCTCACAATTCAATGACAAAAACAAGATCCCAAAATGGAAGGGGAAATATAAAGGATTTATCCCACCCATTCCCTGTGCCATAACTATCCCAGCAGAATACCTTCCCTCCCCTCCTTGTCTTTCCTGCCCAAGTTGGGGATCATCAGGAGGAAGGCACCTCACCTGAGGGTGGTATACACTCAGGGACTTGACTTTGTGAAGTGGAAGCAGGACACGGATGAGAAACATCTTATGCTCTTCCTTAAGGGGTAGGGCAAAGCCATTGATGATACTAGGAGTTAATGGAGGTTTTTTAGGACCAAATAGCCAGATCCAAGTTCAATACACCAGTCCTCCCAACATTTTTCAGGTATCTTATGTTTCTCTACTCCACCTCTCACCTGCCCAAGATCTCCAGGAGTTCAGCAATCCCATTGTGATGCTCTGTCTCATAGATGAACCTGAGAGGAAGAAAATGGGCTCTCTTGACACTAACCCTGATGTCCCTCCCGCATTCTGCAGAGTCTCCATTATCTCGTTGCTCCCCCTCTCCTCCCTAGCAAAGGCTTGCTTTGATCCTAAGTCTGGGCTCATGAACTCACCTATAGAAGATGTGGTTGATCTGCCTACGGATATAAGCCCGGAGCCCCAAAAACTTGCCATAGATACGATGCAAAATGGTCTTGAGAAAGTCCCGCTCTCGAGGATCCTCACTGTCAAATAGGTCCAGGAGCTGGAAGCAGGAGGGAGGAAAGGCAGCAAGTGAGGTGGCAGCCAGGGAAGGCTAGGGCTGGGTGACAGGGTCTTAGTCAGGGGAAGCTTTCAGGTTTTCTGGAGAAAGGGGAGTAAGGACAAGTGTCTGGAAAGCAGAGTAATTCTATTCTACTGATCTACTCCAAGTGGTATCTGGCCATGCATATGTGTGTGTGTGTGTGTGTGTGTGTGTGTGTGTGTGTGTGTGTGTGTGTGTATATATATATATATATATCTCCCCTTGAGAAGTACTATGTTGCTTTTTTTTTTCCATTTTGCTAAAAGCTTCTTAAGGGCACTGAGCTTTTTTAACCTCCCATGGTCTCCTTAAACTAAACCCAGCTGAAATTCCAGTATAATAGTCATAATGGGAAAGAACATCTGGGACAGAGGTGAGGGGAGGCATGGGACTACAGTTTATGGAATAGATAGAGGGGGAAGGACAGGAACCTCAGGGACTCACAGCAAGGACAAACTTCTGGTCAATATACTTCTTGGCTATGTTCGGCTGGAAATCAGGAGACTCAAGGAAACGTAAGAAAAACTCATATACAAGCTGTAGAGGAAAAGAAACATCCACTGAGGAACTCCCCAAGGAATAAAAGATAGGGTACCCTGTTCCCTGCAGCCAGAGACAGCATGCTCCCTTGCCCTGGTACCTGAAGATGAGGCCAGGCAGCTTCCAAGGTAGGCTCATCTTCCTCTGGATCGAATTCAGCCCCTGTGGGATTCGATGAAGGTGGCAGTGTCCGGAAGAGGTTCACTGAAAACTGAGGGGTAGGCCCAGCTTAGAGCACCGTGCAGGCTTCTCCAGGGCCCCCACCCCTAGCCCTTGTGTTCTTTCCCCATGCCCACCATGGTTACAGCCTCTGGGTAGATGGCCTCAGTGACAACATCACGGCTGTGGGTGATGTACTCCACCATCTCATTGAGTCCTGCCCGCTTCACCTCCTTAAATTTGAGGTCACTGAGTGGGTCTGACACAAAGTCAAAGAGGACGCAGCACTGGCGTAACTTCTGTATAAACAGCTCCTCCCGCTCCTGGGTTGGTGAGTCTGTGGAAGGGGCCCCAGCAGTTAGCTTCTCCTCCCCCATCCCTCATCCCTCATGCCCAACCTGCTGGCCTTACAGAGCTTTCCCCTTTCCCACCGTTACCATCCTGTTCCCTGGACCTCCACCCCAATGAAAGTCCCCCTCACATTCTCTTGAATTCTCTTCTACCCAAGATACCCTAAAACTTCCATTCTGCCAATGCCCAGTGCACGATAACCATTCTGACTAGCTGCAAGTACCTTTCAGGGCAGGAAGCTTCTGCAGCTCCCGGTTCTTGCTGAGGTTGAAGCGGGAGGAGCTTTGCCGTCGCTCCTTCTTGACAATCTGGGGTCCCCCTGAGTACTTGATTTTGCTGAGCTGTGTTGGGGGGGGTGTGCTGTTGCTGGGACGCTTGTTGGATGATGGTGGCTGAGATTGAGGTTGAGGTTGGGGCTGAGGCTGAGGCTGTGGCTGGGGCTGGGGCTGTGCCTGGTCAAACAAGTAATCTGTTGAAGTCCACTCCCCAGGAGATCTACCCACCCCAGGCTTCCCTCCATCCCTACTCTGTTTATGCCTGTACAGCCAAGGCAGTAAGCAGCTGTCTCTTACTCTAAAGAAGTTAGACCAGAAACAGGAATGGGTATGGACTGTAGCCTTGGAAGGGAACAGTCAAGAGGTCATGTCTCACTAGGCACAGTGGTCACACCTATAATCCCAGCAACTCAAGAGACTGAGCCAGGAGGATCATAAGTTCAAAGCCAGTCTCAGCAATTTTACAAGGGCCTATACAACTTAGTGAGACCCTGTCTCAAATTTAAAAAATAAAATAAAAAAGGGCTGGGGATGTGGCTCAGTGGTTAAGTGTCCCTCAGTTCAATCCATGGTATAAAACAAAAGAAAGTCATGTCTCCCAAAGTGATACTCAGGCAGTGGGGAAAAACCCTCAAAATGTTCATTCCTGCCAAGCATAGTGGCATGCACCTGTACTCCTGCTCTTTAGGAGCCTGGAGCAGGAGGATCGCTTGAGCCCAAGAATTTGAGATTTGAGACAAGCCTGGGCAACATTGTAAAACCCTTTCTCAAAACAACAACAACAAAAACACCTCATTCTAATTCAGGCAAAATAAATTGATGGATTGATAGTGACACAAGTCAGAAAAGTGGTTATCTTGCCAGAGTAGGGATGGCAGTGGAGAAGGAGTAAGGGTAGTGGTGGTAAGGTACTGCTGAGAAGAGACATTAGGAATACTGTTTTGTTGTTGTTGCTGCTGTTTTTATACTAGGAATTGAACCCAGAGGTGCTCAATCCCTGAACCACATCCCCAGCCCTTTTTATTTTTGATTTTGAGACAGGGTCTCACCAAGTTGTATAGGGCCTCACCAAGTTGCTGAGGCTGGCTTTGAACTCGAGCTCCTCCTGCCTTAGCTTCCCAAGCCACTGGGATTACAGATAAGCCCTACTGTACCTGGCTGTTGTTTTTGCGGTATTTAGGATTGATCCCAGGGCCTCATACATGCTAGGAAGTGTTCTACCACTGAGCTACATCCCTAGCCCCATCAATGAAGAATTTTCTTAGTGTTGGAAACATTTTACATCTTGACTGGATCTGGCAAGTGGTATATACCTAAAAATTCACTGAGCAGTACATCTAAGATCAATGAATGTATGACTTTCTTCAATTAAAGGGTAAAATAAATTTATTCTCATGTCTTGGTAGTTTTACTACTAGAAATTAAGCTTAATAAAGATCCTAAATTTAAGAAAAGCTTTTCAGGATGGGGAGATAGCACAGTGGTAGAGCTCTTGCCTAATACAATCAAGGCTCTGGATTTGATCCCCAGCACTACAAAATGTTTTTTAAAAAGGGCAGTGGGGAGCTTTGTTTGGGGCTAGGGTGAAGCTTAGCAGTAGAATACTTGCTTAGCATGTACAAGGACCTAGGTTCCATCCCCAGAAGAAGAAAAAAAAAAAAAAAGTTTTGCTGCAAACACTTGAAGAGTCTCACAAGAAAAAATAAATAAGTAGAATTATGTTTATGAAAACCATGTGATAAATGTAACTATGAAAAATAGTTACACAATCCTAGTAAGTTCACCAAAATTAATAAGCATTTTGAGAAGAGGGGCAATGTCAGCATAGGGGCACAGGAATGGTGAGAACTTATATTTTCCACTGTAGAAAGTCAACAGATAAACCAGGTATGATGGCACACACCTATAATCCCAGCAACTGGGAAGGTTAAGGCAGGAGGAAGTGGATTCAAAGCTAGCCTCAGCATTATGTAAAAATGTGGATGTATAACCAATGTGATTCTGCAATCTGTATTTGGGGCAAAAATGGGAGTTCATAACCCACTTGAATCTAATGTATGAAATATGATATGTCAAGAGCTTTGTAATGTTTTGAACAACCAATAAAAAAATAAAAGAAAATTTATACACAGATAGGTACAAAAGGGAGACTCTGTGAAGACACAGAGATAAGATGGCTCTGAGAGCGGTCTCAGAAACAATAGACTCTGCCAACCCCCAAGACTGAGACTTCTAGCCTCCAGAACTGTAACAAAAAAACCTGTTGTATATGCTAAAGTCTGTGACGTGCTGCTATTGCACCTTACTAGTAAGTTAACAATGTACTCAATATTTAGTTATTAAATAAATGAGTTTAAGGAAGCCACCCCTTCCCTGAGTTAAATGTATCTTATTTATAGCAATAACAATTTGTACCAACTTTTATCATACTTCTTGTCCATAGAGTTGCATTGTAATAGTATCTTCATTTATAATATATATAATAAATATATAATATATATAATAAATATATAATATTTGTTCTATTTGGTACACTATTGACAAGCATGTTTTGATTTAAAGATNAAAAAAAAAAAAAAAAAAAGCTGGGTGTGGTGGTGGTGCACACCTACAATCCCAGGGACTCCAGAGGCTAAATCAGGAGGATCACAAGCCAACCTCAGCAATTTGGCAAGACCCTGTCCCAAAATAAAATTAAAAACAAAAAGGACTGGGGATGTGGTTTACTGATTAAGTGCTCCTAAATTCAACTAAAAAAAAAAAAAAAAAAAGATGGGTAAGGATTAATGCTTAGAGTCACGAAGCCAAGCTAATTTGGCTAATTTGGAAATACAAATACAAATATCAATCTGTGAGGAAAGAGTTCAGAGTGGTTACACAAAGCAACAATGCAGGGGTTGCTCTTTTCATCACAAGCCAACACTACCTTTTAACTTTCTGAATGACCATGTTGAAAAATATTAAAACAAAAAGCCAAAAACTACCTAATGAAAGAAAACTGCTTCCAATATAAGTTAAATAAGGACAAAACTGTATATGCAAAATGAGCTCATACACATTAAAATACATGCAAAGGACCAAAACAGGTTCTAAAATGGAAAGAACAAGTCTAAGGAGTCCTTAGTAACTAAGTCCTATAGTGATAACATTATAGATGACTTTTCCTTTTCCTTTTCCCTATTTCTTTGTTTATGTTTTGTTATTTTGGTACTAGGGGTTAAACCTAGGAGTGCTCTACTACTGAGCTACATCTCCAACCCTTTTCAAATTTCTTTGAGACAGGATTTCACTAAGTTGCCCAGGCCAGCATCAAACTTGTGGTCCTCCTGCTTCAGCCTCCAAAGTAGCTGGGATTCCAGGTGTGTGCCACCATGCCAAACATAGATACAGTTTTCTACATTTCCAGATTTTTTACAAGCTGACAGTGCTTTTGTAATGAAAGAAAGATGACTAATTTTTAAAAATGGTCCCTTTGGGAAGGGATAGCTCCCAGACATGGTAAAGGGCCCATAAAGCCCATTTTCAGAAGCCTAAACAGTTCTGCAGGGATGTCACTCACAGGTATTCCTAAATGTCCTGGTAACACTCTTGTAAGAACAGAAGATCCTAGCCCCCAAATAGAGGCTGCAGGAGTAAGGTCATGTCCAGCTGGATACCCACACCACGGAAGGAAAAGCTGACCTCCTATTCTTAACCACATCATTCCCCTCCTCCCCAGAGGGTTTTAAATCTCCTCACCATAAGAATGGGAGATTTAAAACCCTCTGGGTTGGAGGAGAGGAGGAAAACAGAACTGTCATCCTTTTCATATTCTGAATTATTTTGTAGAAACCAGTTCTGACAAGTTTGTGACCTATCTGGGAATGAAAGAACTAGAGAGCAGTACTGGGTGTAGCCCAGGCAGGTCTGTGGGTTCAATGTGGCTCCTTACCACTTAGGCTACCTCACTCTCTCCTTTACTACAAAGGACCGCCCCAGACACCAGTTTCACTAGAGGAATGCAAGGAAGCGGGGCAGGAGCAGCTATCATACCTTCTCTGCCATGACAACACTCAGCCAGTGTGATTTTAGTTAGATAATGCAAGGAGCCCTGGAGTCTGGGGTTTCCTTTTCTATATATGGCAGATGAATCACCTTGGGGACAGGCTCAGAAAGAGGTAGAAGGTTGGGAGGCCATCACTTGGTGTGCATCCAGACCTTTATAAGAGGTATCTTCTACTAGTACTATTCTTTTTTTGTTTTTGGTACTAAGGATTGAATCTAGGGGTGGTTTAGGCACTGAGTTATATCCTCAGCCCTTTTTTTCTTTTTCTTTCTTTTTTTTTTTTTTTTTTTGAGACAGGGTCTCACTAAGTTGCTGAGGCTGCCCTCGAACTTGTGATGCTCCTGGCTTAGCCTCCCAAGTTATTGGGACTTAAGATGCTTTTAGGAATGCATCCTAGAAATTCCTTCCTATGCTAACACACCTCAAATGTTTGAGTCCATTTTTCTCTTGTTTGAAAATGGGTGACCCAGAAAAATCACTTTATCTCTCAGGACCCAGTTTAAGTTCCACTTTCTTCCAAAAAGGCTTCTTAGATCATGCCAGTCCTTAGGTACTGCTCCACCCCCCACCTCCTAACACTACTTGTCTGTTCCATTGATTCTGTAATCATTCACCCCTAGTAGTACCTCTTGCTTTGTCTCTTTATATATCATTTCCTCAAAATGACAAGCCCCTTGAAGGTCCAGTCTCTGGTTTATACCCCTGTAGATGCCCTTGTACTGACATTAACAAACATTCAGTGAATGTTTGGCTGGTTGATTAAGAGCCAAAGCTCTTGGCTCCTCTTCAGGCTTCTCCCCATGGCCCTTCCTCTCCTGTCTCAACAAAGGAACCCGCAACACAGAGCACTGTACAGCATCAGGAACAGAGAAAACTTAGTGATACTAGGGTAAGAGGCTCAGTGCCAGCCTGAGGAACAAGACTCTGAGGGAGAGACAGACACCCAGCACCTCCATGAGCCACATACTGGGCCACATACAGAGAAAGGCATTCTTCCCAGAATGGGGAAAAACAGCCTCAATTTTCTCTGTTAAAAAGGAGAAAGTTGGACTAGATTGTTGGTTTCCCAACCACTCTCCAAGAAAGGTCTTAAGAAAACAGAGGGTTGCATAACTATAAAAATAATGTTCAA